TCAAATAGACTAACATACTTTGTACATCTCTAGCTGTTCTGAAGACACACCAATGTTAGAACCATTTGAGAATTTAGAAGCCTTGGAATCCTCAATTTGAGCCTGCAAATAGTTATGATAAGAAATTACCGCTAAAATAGAATTCAGCTCCTGCATAGAGACTTGCTTAGCTCTATCAATAGCTAAAGCGACTTGCGATTGATGCTAAAAGTTAAGAAAAATTTATAGAAATACCTCATTAGACAAAAATGGCATGACTTGTGTTATAATGCCGTTGAGACGCTTAGCTATCTCCATCTAAAAATGCTAGGAAGAATGAGTTTCAATTACTTGACGATGCATTTCTAGGTTGAGACCGTTTGCCATTTCGTAATACATAACACAAATCCTCTGCATGTCACTTCTTTCATTAAGTAGCTTTTCTCTTTCGATGTGCAAGCTGCAAAAATATTAACAATATGCATTCTCACGAGTGATACTGTTGTTGAACATAGCTAAATTCTTCTTTGATTCTATCGCAAGTTTCGACCAGATTGAATTTATAAGAAGGCCCCGGCCCAGAGGGAGCCTATGAAAAAAGATTGTAAAATAGCATTTCACACACACAATTGGTAATAAAAGCTATCCAGAATAAAGTAAATAAATAATAATAATAACGAGATGCAACCAACAAAGTGGAGAATATAAATGTTATCTAAAGAAACGTAAGGCACAACATGCTTCTATAAACAGTAGTAAATTATTCAAAATCAATACTTAAATAACGGTAAAATCTTGAAGACAGCTTACCGGAGGTCTGTTAGAAAACATTAGAAGAGATCAGAAAAATTCGCCTATGTGCCAGAAGGCCCAGCGCTTAAAAGTACTGGCAGCAATTTGTAATTAAGAACTTTTAAAACAAATAAAGTATAATTCGTTTTTATATTTAGAAATCAAACGATTGTAAATGTATATCAAAATTTTATATTTTGACAAATATATTTAAATTTTATTGGTTTTGTTATAGTATGGCGCATACCTGATCTGCGTGGCCCTCATATAGCCGAGATGGAATGCGCTAACGAATGGCTCCAAGAGATCGAAGATTATAAGTCACAAATGACAGAGTATTTCACCAAATGTTCTGCAAAATTGAAAGAATGGTATGACAATGGAGGAGATCGCTCAGATACCTATCGAGTTGAATATAATAAACTTATGGACGAATACGATAAGTACACTAGGTACCTTGAGGGCCTACATAGGTCTTCACTAGAAACACAAGCTGCGCCTGGTAGCGATTCTCAGGAATCTCGTTCCTCTGTATTGACTTCAGGTCAGTTATTTTCATACTTACCGTTCAAAAGCCGCTAGTGTCGTTAACTCTGTTCCTGTCCCTGTGGCGTCTGTTCCTCAAACTGTGAGCTCTTATGCACAGCCCAAAAGTTTGCATAGCTTTATGAATCCATCTATTAATCTCGCTGCTGCCGCAAGCTATACTCAATATTACAAGGAAATGATTGATTACTTTAACAAGCTTCTGAAGGCTCTTGAATCCTCTAATGACCCAGAAACGTCTGAGGAAGAGACTGAGAATATTGAACCTAAAAAGCTCACTAAGGTTCACATTAATTTTGTTTAATATAGTTAGGCCCAAAGAAAAAAATTAAAAAAAAAATCAAGGCGTATTGCTGACGGACCTCTAGAGAACGACGATGCAACAAAGAATTCGCAACCTGATTCATTTGTAGATCCTATAAAAGATCCTTGCGCT